TACATGAACACATTTTATCATAACATCAACACCTCAGCTAGCTGGTTTTCAAACTTTAATTAAAATATTGCATGCATAGCTTGTCTTGAACACCTAATGTCCTCTCCAATCTTTTCTTTCTTCTCATGGTCCTTTGAAGTTACAGCATATCTTCATAGCACACATTTTCATTACTGTGGTGCAAACTGACTTTGAGTATTTTGGTGTAGGTATAGGTGCAAACAAATGAAATAAACATGACAGTTAATGGCTTTGGACTCTCCAGCTAGGATGGTCACTGACTAGTCATTTTTACAACAAGTTATACCAATTGCATTCTGGTCATGAAAATTTTAATATGATCTACAAGCTGACCAAGTACTAGTCCAGAAATCTCTCATCATTTTTGAAATGCTTCTATAACATACTGTTAGTTTATATGTATTTACTTCTCAGTGTGTTATTAAAATAAATGTCTTTTTTGTCCTTTTATTTGTAAATGTATTAGGGTGAGATGTTTCTATTCCCAGAGAAATACAAAGAAGCTAGAAAAAATAATGTGGAGAAAGGGGCTTGAATGAAATAAAGTCAGAGGACACTTGAAAGTCATTTGATTCAAAGCGATCTAATAGAGATGTACCTGAGGTGGGAATACACTTTAAAATGTATTTGTTAGGAGTGTTTTAGTTTTTTCTTCTTTGGATTACTTATACTAAAATTTTAGTATCCAACATTGTTTCCATCCTACTGTATCCCAGAAAAAAATTTTGTTCTCATCTTCAGTTTAAATTTGTCTCATTTAAACATTTCAGGGCTGGGGAGATAGCTCAGAGGCATAAGCACCTGAGCTTGATCCCAGGTACTTGCGCCACATTGGTGCCACCCCAGAACTGGGCATGGTGGCCTGTGCCTGTAATCCCAGCACATGGGATTACATAAGGCTAGGAGTCTGAACTACATAGCAAGATGTATAAAAAAAGAAAAACAATGCGATTCTTTTTTTTTTTTCCTTCGGATAACCCAAATTAAAGGTCTAGTTCCTCTCCCAGATGATTTACTATAGTGTTTTAGGGAGATGGCTCATGCCTTTCTCTGCTTCACTGGACTCAGGTTTTAGGTGCATGTTCCTGTGTCATTCATCAGTCCTCAGAAAACCTGAGTTCCATAGTCACATCACCCTAAATCTCTTAGCAGTTTTCCCTTTAAAAAATAGCATTTATAGTATGTATATATTTTAAAAAATCCATTTTAAACAATTAACTAGGTCAATATGTAAAAAATAATTGTCAAAACTTAAAAGGATGACATGAAATATGAAGTACATATTCATTCAACCTCTGTTGAAAGCAATATGTATATAAAGAATTAAAATTCATCCACTATGTTTTCTATCTATTCATAAGAACTGATAATTGTGAGATCAAAGATTTTTTTATAGAAATTTTTTTGCAGCATGATTTATTTTAAAGGATCATTTAAAAGGCAAAACAGTTTATTAAACTAAATGGTATATTTCATACTTACTGCTTGATTAATAATTTTGTTTTTATTGTGATGATAATTTTCTAGATGTAATTTTAGTGCACTTAAGAAGTTTTCCTCTAACCCAAGGTCACAAAATATTTTTAAGCACATTCTAGAATTTTTTTTTGTATGTATTTGGTAAGGGTCCATAGGGTCTACAGGGTATCAGTACACAGATTGGACTCATAGTGAACTGCCTGTTTTCTGCCTCCCAAGAGCTGAGATTACAGGCAGGCATTGCCATGCACAGTCTCAATCACTGTCTCAGTGAGACCTGAGGGCTGGGCTGGGCTGGCATGGTCGAACCCCAGCTGCTGCACTCTGCCCAAGTAGGCACATTAGCCTGCTGAACTATCTGGCTGGCCCTTAGAATGTTTATTTTTAATTTTTTTCTTTAATCAGATTTTATTGGTACATTTTATATATACATAATTACATTCATCATAGAGAATTTATACCTGGACATGCTACAACTTGATTCTTTTTTCCACATCCCCCTACACTCCCTTCAATGACTGTCTTAATCAGTCTTGGTTTGAAATTACCTTTGTGTGTAAATAGAATACATGCCTCTGCTGTTTTCTGAGTTCCTGTCCTATGGAGTACTGTTTCCATCCTTTGACTGTCAGTCTATGAATTCCTTTCCTTTCCTTTCCTTTCCTTTCCTTTCCTTTCCTTTCCTTTCCTTTCCTTTCCTTTTGGTAACTGGGATCAAACCCAGGACCTTACACTTGCCAGGCAGGCGTTTATGCCTCTGGGCTATCTCCTTGACCCTGAATTTCTTTTTGAATTAAATGTGTTTCTTTTTATGCAGCATGATGTTAGATTTTTCTTCTTGATCCATTCTGCCAGTCTGTTTTTGCTATTGGTGAATTGAGATCATTAACATTGATGATTATAAATTATATGTATTGACCTATCCTTGTCATGTTATTATCCTGCTGTTGGATCCCTTTCCCCTGTTTATTTGCCTTACTTGTGAATTCCTTCTGTTGGGATTCATGGAGTTGTAGTCTGTTTTCTTTTTTGTTCTGAATGCCCTTCAGAAAATTTTGAAGTACTGGTTTGGTGTTCAGGAATTTCCTCAGGTGTTCTTTGTCATGGAAGTATCTTATTTCTCCATCAGTTTTAAAAGATAGTTTTTTTTCTTTTTTCTTTTCTTTTTGGATGTACTCAGGACCCTGAGCTCGCCAGGCGAGCACTTATTCTACTGAGCTATCTCCCTAGGCCCTAAAAGATAGTTTTGAAGCTTACATTAATCTAGGTTTTCTTTTTTTTGATTGAAGTACTTCACTCCAACTCTCTTTGACTTGAGGGTTTATGTTAGGAAATCAGTGATTAAATATCACCTTTTATTATCCATTCATCTATTCATGTACATATAAGCTGTTTCCAACATTTACCTATTATGAATTGGGGATGCATCCCTCTTTTGAGAAGATTATAGAAGGGGAATAGCTGGGTGCAGTGAATTTTCTATTCTGAGTTTTTGGAGGAATTTCCATACTGATTTTCACTTTTTTTTTTTGGTGGAACCAGGAATTGAACTCAGACCCTTGTGCTTGCCAAGGAAGTCCATACTGATTTTCTTTCTTTCTTTCTTTCTTTCTTTCTTTCTTTCTTTCTTTCTTTCTTTCTTTCTTTCTTTCTTTCTTTCTTTCTTTCGGAACCGGGGATTGAACTCAGGCCCTTGTGCTTGCCAGGGAAGCGCATATTCTACTGAGCCATCTCCCTAGCCCCATACTGATTTTCTTAGTGGTTATACCAGTTTACATTCCCACCAACAGTTGAGATGTGTTTTTTTTCTTCCCATAGTCTCACCAGCATTTGTACTTAGGGGTATTTCTTGATGGTAGCCTTTCTTTCTAGGGTCATATGGAGTCTCAGTGTTGTTTTAATTTACATTTCTCAAATGTCAGATAATGTTGAACATTTTTGCAACATAGTTTTTGGCCATTTGTATATCTTCATTTGAGAGCTGTCTATTTATT